TTGTTTACTGCAATGGTGGTGCATAAGCATCACTGTACAAGCTAGAATAGATGTGAATTGAAGCAATCTTAGCAAACATTTTGGATCACACTTCTGAAAACTAGTAAAAACTGAGATAGGCCCCTTTCTCCTGGTAGTAACATTTTATCCAACCACTACACCCACTTACATACAATTATGTATTAATCATAATGTCATATATCCATTTTATACATGAGATAAACATAAACCAGAAAAGTGTAGCACTGTGAAACCATTCAAGTAAATTGAACATTAAAGCTTCCTGAAAAGTGCAAAATACATGACTAGCATTTTTTAAAGAAATATAGCAAATAGTTGATACATTATGAACAGTGATTTACTTTGATCCACTCAACAAAAGCTAATTTTTGAAGAAAATATGCTGGCAATAATGTTGTTTTTCATATTGGTGATAACTCAACTCAGTGATTACTCCATTTTTTTCCTTATCTTCTAAATTTGAAATGGAAAGGAATGTGATATATCAAAATGAAATAGTAAATTTTTTTTTAGGTAAGAGGTGAAAAGAAATTTAAAAATCTTCCAGGTATAACAGGTTAAAGCTGATATCTTTCTCACTTGAATACTGACTAAAGTGTATGATACTCATATTACTCAAATGTTACTCAAGGAGACTGTGATATAAAGGAATGTCTTCCTTTCTCCTCATCCTTCATGTACAAGAAAAATCACACAAGAATCTTGTTCAAATTCAAGATCTTTCAAACATATTCAAAAGTCATGAAAAATTCTGACAACAACAAACAACAGCTTACAAACACAGAGTAGGCTGCAAGTATAGTATATAATATCATTTGCATGTAATTATGAAACCAAGTTATATTCACAAATCTCTTCTGATAGCTGAATGCAGGAAGCAGTCTACTCATTAGACTGAGTACTCTTCTTAACCAGTGGTACTGCTTCTCTGCAGGTTTCAGCTGGTGACGCAGCTGCACTGTTCTGACTTGAGCTCTGTGCTGAATGCTCCAAACTTGTGTTTCCTTGGCTTTGTTGAGTAGTTCCTGGGCTTTGTTGAATAATATGAGAATAAGGAGGAGGAGATGTGTAATTAGGCAGGGAAGCGTATGAAGGGGCTGATGTTTCATCTGTTGAACTGTATGCTGGGTTAAATTCTGAAATGTATCCTGGGTATGGAGGTGGAGCATCATCCTTTCCTGGTGAAGGAATGCTGACAGTCATTCCAGATGGAGTCTGAGTTACTGCCACAACTGTCACTGCTACTGGCCTCTCTCTTGTTGTGGCCTGCCAAACAGTAAATTGGATTACAGCTAGGTCTCATACATATGGACAGTTCAACATAATCATTTAGACTAAGTAACCAATAATTCTATACAATGTCTTACAAAAGTAGTGCAAATATGTATGTCTTCAATCAGGGTAAAATAGTAAAATTATCATTATAATATAATTTGGAAATTGTAATAATGAACATGCGAAAGAAATGGTGTTTGAATGCCAGAAGGCAATATAATCTATGACTACTTTCCACTTTTGCATACAGATGAAGGTTGTGAGATAGTACAGGTAATCTCTTCCATCCAAAAAATATCTCTTATTTTTTACACAAAAGGCAACCAGATTGTTAAAATTCATGATTATAATTACTTCTAATAAAACATACCCTGTACTGTAACACCGAAAATTTTAGAAATATGTTGTGATCTTTTATATCATACTTCACAATGGTACCTGTAATCACAATATTTGCTGCTACTGGTAGTAACACAACTAAGTGATATATACAAAAAAGTCATCTTTACAATAAACCACATACCTCATTGTAGTAGGAAAACACCACCAGGAGGAAGTACACCACAATTACAAAAGAAATCAAGTTCAGTGGCACTGGTGGCTTAAATGGTGTGAAGATGCTCATGAAAGCATAAAAGATTGGGGCTGCTTGCCACAACATCCACGGTAACAACAGCTTGGGTCTGCCCTGAAATTCATATGCCAATAAAATCATTACTAAATAGATATTCGCTCATCAATTTATAACATAACAAACAGGCTATTGCTGCTACATGACATGAAAAAAAAATATGTCCAGCTATTCTTATATCAAACAAGTAGATAAAAATGTTTGTACATATTTAGATGAAGTCGTAATAATGCTACTGAAAACAATAAGAACATCAACAATACTATCAAAATTAGCTCTAAAATAATGCATAAAAATAATAACAAAACAATAATAGTAATAATAATAATGATAAATAACCAAAAAAATAAGAATGATGATGAGGATAAAAATAATACCAATAACATCATCATAACAATATCACTAATAATAACATAATAATAATAATGATAATAATAATAATACATTAAAGATAATAAAAGTAATGATAACAACAATAATGATAATAATAATAATTATTATCATAATAACAATAATACTAATAATGACAATAATAATAATTACAAATACAATAATGGTAACCACCACAACAACAATAACAATAATCATAATAATGAAAAATAATAATAACATTATTAATTATAATAGTAGTTGTAGTATTAGTAGTGTAACAATAATAATATGATAATGATAATAATAATATGAAAATGACAATGATAATAAATATAAAATAAAAGATTACAATACTAAAAATAACAATGATAATAAAACACTAATAATACTAAAACAATAATAATAAGAACAACAATAAAAAATAAATAATATCTAAATTTACACCTAGATGGCTCCATAAGTGCTGAGGCATCAATTAGCCAATTAGTCCTCTGCTGATTTCCCCTTTCCCTGATTTTTCGTGAAAAATATTTTTCCTAATGCTATTAATACTAATGTCATTATTGTTGTTATTTATATCATAATGATTATAATGTTATCAACAATACTAACACTAATAAAAAAATATGATTATTTCTAAAAATTAAGAAGGAAGGAAAGAGGTGAGCTCAGTAAATTTTGTAATTGACTCCTTGTTGACTAAGCACTTGGGTAGCCATACATGTGTAAAGACAATCAATAAACAAAAAGACACAGAGGACATGACATGTATTGCTGCCATGTCAACTTAGTTAATCATAATTGTTCTCACTACTGCTAAAAATGGCAATAAATGCAAAATTATTGTAGGCTCTGCTTTAACAGGTTCTTTATTACAATTAAGCAAATGAATACTTTTTTTAAACATAGTGACTTACCATTTTAACACCATACACCAACTGCACACTTACAATAAAGCAAATAATGCAGAGAATAGCTTGAAGTCCCAACGAAAAATACACTGAAAAATTGAAACTAAAATAAAAAAAAAAAAAAATAAATAAATAAAAAGGTAAAATACTTATTGTTAACTTTTGATATTTGACTACTACAAAAAAAAATTGGTAATCCTCACTTCCTAATAATAATCTCTATTCCTCTGATTCTTATTCATGGAAAGCAGACTACATGCTAGGCTACTTTAATGCTATGCATTACCTAAAAGTTCTCTGTAATGCACTGTTTCTAAAGCATAAATTTAGTAACTTAAAAAAAAAAAAAAAAAAAAAAAAACATGTCTAAGCAAACAATATTTTGACAGGGAGAGAGAGAGAGAGAGAGAGAGAGAGAGAGAGAGAGAGAGAGAGAGAGAGGAGAGAGAGAGAGAGAGAGAGAGAGAGAGAGAGAGAGAGAGAGAGAGAGAGAGAGAGAGAGAGAGAGAGAGAGAGAGAGAGAGAGAGAGAGAGAGAGAGAGAGAGAGAGAGAGAGAGAGAGAGAGAGCCTTTAGTTTGCCTTTTAAGCTATACAAAATTTTATGAAGTATACTAAGAAAAAGATTTTATTCACAATACTAAGATTTTGTCTAAATGAATCATGCTCACTGTTTAAAATTTTGTTTGGTGGTACAGCAACATCTGTACAATATGGCAGTCAAAAGCAAATTTATTAAAATTAATCATTTTTAGAATTTTATATAGCCTTTTCTGCTTGAATGCTAAAATCTTAAAATGGTAGACTACATGGATTTCTAATTCCACCTTTCATGGGATTATTGCCAATTTTGAAGAATGTATATCATCTATAAAAGGAAAATGTGAGTGTAGAAAGATTAACATGAAATGGTTTCAACCCCTATCCTTTTTAATGACTCTTTCAGCTATCATCGTAGGCAATACCAATTTTACATGTTTCATGTTTGCAAGGTCATTATATAAAGCATTCAACTTCACACATACACAGATGCATAGTCATAAGCATGCCCACTCAATTACAGTCAGTAAATATTCTCCTCTACCTGCAACAGTAACAATAGGATATCTCTCCACCTCAAATGACAAGTATAACATACACACATTTAAATGAATAAAATTTCAATGAAGCAGTTACATAAATCACATGCAAAATAATTGGCTTCCATATATCATCAAATCCACCTTTTATATTGGCCTTTGCTAAAACTGACATTTCTTAGTTTCACATTTACTGTACAGTTTGTACATATCATTTTAGCATTAACCTCTGAAAAAGTTATCTTAGTGCATTTTATACTAACTCAATCTACCTGCCTGCTTTGATTTCTGTACTCTTTGTCCTAATATCATAATGTAAAATTGACTTGCTTTTCAATATAATCTCTTATCAATACGGAATTGAATATGTAACAGGCATGAGAACTGAATCATTAACCTTCAAAACATTGAGTTACATTAAACAAGGTCTGTCATTACATACAATTTTCACTTTACAAACAAATGAAATAAATCAAATAATTAATGCAGTTCTAAAAACATTATCATCCTGAACTATTGCAATGTTTACTTTCCATAAGCATTATCCTCTAAAGTAAACATTTTGTCCTAAGAATTTAACTCCACTGGTATTTTAACAATACAGGGCTAAGTTTAATGGTAATGTAGAAAGTAATGCTTTTTCACTTCACAGCAATTACTGAAGCCTTCAGCATTGTTTTTGGTCATGTAATTGGAGTTCTTCTGTTATCATT